TTAGAGAATATTCCTCCCTCATTTGCTGGGAAAGATCTTCTTGTCTTCACTCACAAACAGTTACATACACCAGACTCTATGCCTATACCCCCCTTTGAGCTCGTCTAGCACATCTGCCTTCTGATCTTCCTATAAGTGATATACCTCCCTTAGATGCCTCTATTCCACCTACTGGTTCTTCTATTCCTTTTTGTCATTTTACTTATATTTCTCGGCCTCCTAACCACTATGATTTCTTTTTAAGCCATAGTTCCTTTTCTGTTGTTTTATCTTCTATAGATATTCCTCATTCTTACCAGCAAGCCATTGGGAGTCCTCATTGGAGAGAAGCCATGGATGCCGAGATTAAAGCTCTTCATGAGAATGACACTTAGGATCTTGTACAGCTATAACTGCTCCTTCAGATACTTCCATCGTTGGGAGATGTTGGATTTACACCATCAAGATAAAATCTAACAAATCTCTTGATCAATATAAGGCTCACTTAGTTGCCTAGGGCTATAGTCACAAGTATGATTGATTATGAAGAAACCTTTGCCTCAGCTTCTAAGATCACTATAGTCCGTGTTCTCTTAGCATTGTCCGGTATCCAATCTTGGACCATTCACCAGCTAGATGCTAAGAATGACTTCCTTCATGGTTAGTTGAAGGAGACCGTTTATATGAAGCTTCCTCCCGTTACTGCAGTGACCCTTCCCTGTTGTGTCACTTAAAGAAATCCCTATATGGTTTGAAATAGGCTCCTTATGCTAGATTTGACCGTTTGAGCACTTCTAGGATGTTGTAGTTGTAGCAGGATATAGCCAAAGCTCTTTTGATCACTCCCTGTTGTGTCACTTAATGATATGTTATTAACTGGGAATGATGATGAATGTATTCATGAGTTGAAGTCCTTCATAATTTCATCCACATGAAGGATCTACGACATCTCACATATTCTTAGGATTAGAAGTTCACCATAGTGATTGAGGATATTTTGTTTGTCAGCAAAAATATGCTTATGATCTTGTTATACTTGTTGGCATCACTGATGAGAAATATGTTGATACACCCTTAGAGATAAATGTTAAGTCATCTAAATTTGATGGTCCATTACTTCCAGATGATACCTTGTGTTGCTAGCTTGTGGGGTCTCCTCGCCAGCCTCATATGGCTGTTGTCCATCACATCATTCATTATGTCAGAGGCACGGATTCTCAGGGACAATTTTTCTCCTCCTCTTCCCCTATTTAGTTGAGAGCATATGCTGATGTTGATTGGAAAAGTGTAGCACTATACAAATGTGGCTAGGAAGTTTCAACTTGGGTATGATATATTTATGTATACATAAGGGAATAAAAAAGCCATTGAATATTATACAATGCAGGGTGTAAGTGGTGTGATAAGGCTAAGCGCGATGGTCTCCTTGAAGGGCAGAGAAAGGCTAGGAGTTTTGTGTAATAAAGGTAGACTATGATCTTCTATTGATAGAATTGTGTGTTTGTTATGGTCCACACCCCCTTTTATATGGGGAGATCCCAAGGCCCTGAATGGAAGAAGCCAAAAGGGGTTTGACTCCTATTCGGAAAGGGGATCTTCAATTCGGTGTCGGTTGTCAGGGGGACACTGCTAGGGATTCGCCACGTGTCTCATGAGATCTTTCCATGACAAAGTTTCCTTTCGTTTGAGGATTCTCATAGTACACGTGTGCTACTTCCCTTTGTAGGTCTCCTGTATTGACGCAGCGCGGATGACGTCAGGACTAGTCTGACGTGTCATGTTTAACCCTGCTAGATGTCTTGCTACAAGCGACTTTGGTTGATAGTGCTTTCGTCCATCGCAAGTCCACGATGGCTTCAAGCTCATCATGGGTGTGTGATGGGTTATGGGTTTATCGCAGGTCCGTGACACGTTATAGACTTCGTCGCAGACTCGCGTTGGCCTATGTGTCGTCATGGATGTTTTTGTGGTTCCGGTTTGATACCTTCACACCAATCACAGTGGTGGTGAACAACATGTACTTGCATAGGGTCATGCAGTTTCTCATGAAATTGGATCCATAGTTTGAAATGATTTGAGCTTGTATTCTGAATTTGGGTGATATAAGTGATGTGGATGCAATTAGTGTTTTAAAAGCGCAAGGTGAAAAAAAGGCACAGGGGTCAATTTGCACCTGAGGCGCAAGGCGAAGCGCGTGCCTTTTTGAAGCAAGGCACAAAAATAAAAAAAAAAATGTTAAAAATAAAGTCATAAAAATAAAAAAAAAAATGCAAAAAAACAAAATATTAATAAAAATACAAACTTAAAATTTTAAAATAAATGTTTTAAAAAACCTATTATGTAAAATTAAAATACATAAGCATAACATGTAAAGAATATTCAAATGTGAATTTAAAAATAAAATCAAACATATAAAACATTTTCAAGCATGTAAAACCCACAATCTCTTTTTTTCCTGAATTGCATTACTTAAAGTAGCTAAAGTGATGTAAAACATATTACATTCCTGATTCTATGAGCCGCCTTTGTGCCACACACCTCAAGGCAAGCCCAAACAAGTCCATGTTAGGGTAATAAGGTCTTAAATTCTTAGTTCTCATACAAAAATAATGGTTTTATAATTTTAGTTACTCTTGAAGAAGATATTTTAGTAGGATGAATAAATGAACAACATTTACCAAATAGAGGGTTCTTGGAGCTTCAATGAGCGAGCGAAGCAAGCGAACGCCTGGGCTGACGCGCAAAAAAAAAAAAAAGCAAAAAGCACAGAATTTTAAAAAGGTGCACGTCTGGGTTGAGGCGCATCAAGCGCACCAGGCGTGTGCCTTTTGAAAGGGCTGCACCTAGGACCTGGGTGAGGTGCCTACCCTAAAATGGGTCACACCTGTGCGCCTAGACACGCCTTTCAAATCATTGGATGCAACATTTGAAGAGTTACTAAGCAAGGAAACAAGGATGTAAATGTAAGCAATACTTGAAGTTATGAAGGAACCTAGTGTGGCGTTTTAGCACAAATCAACTTTTCGGTCTTTTTATACCTCTATCACATATCAACTTTTGGGTTTTCCAATAGCAAAATCTATGTGGGATTATTTGGAAAAGTGTATCAATAGACAAATGTGGCCAGGAAGTTTCAATTTGAACATGAAATACTTATGTACACTCAAGGGATAAAAAAGCCACTGACTATTATGCAGGGCAAAGCAGCAAGTGATAGTAGGTTCTCATGTAGAATGTCACGAATGCAAGGAATATGGTGATATTACATCCCACTACAAGAAACAGAACTTCTGTTTCCACTGTAAGAACCAGGGACATGTAGTGAATGAATGTAGATTTAAGTAATCTCAAGGAAAGAAGAGTTATAAAGCATATAACCCCACTACTGATGAGAGACCAGCTATGTTACATCTTCTTGGTGTACAACCTCTTCAAGGCAATCCTCTTAGGCTTCCAGTGGCCTTTCTAAACAATAGGTCCAAACACCGATCGTCTCTTTAGTTCTTTTGTTAGTCCTCTTTTGGTCATTGATTCTGGAGCATCAAATCACATACTTGTGTTTTACCAAGTTCAACCTATATTCCTTATTCTAGTAATAATCAAATATTCACTGCCAATGGTAATAAGCCTCAAATCCTTGGCACTGATAATTTGATCCTTTCTGCTTCACCTTTTGGTTCATTGTCTTTAAATAAAGCAATGGCTAAGCTCACCACTAATCTGATTTCAGTCAGGCAGCTTGTTATATGATGTTTATTTCCCATGTAATGTTTGTTTGATTCAGGACTATCTCAATGGGAAAGTAATAGGGAGGGGTTGTAAGGTTAGATGTCTCTTTGCATTGGAATTGATCATGATCTTACACCATCTAATTATCTTTTTGTTTCTTTTGGGGCTTCCCATGATACTTTTTTGGCAGCTTTGGCACCGCCATCTAGGCCATCCTCATAATGATAAATTAACTATAGTCCTTCATTCTGGACTTCTCATGATAAATTAACCAATGCATTTCTTCATGACAATCTAAAGGAAACTGTTTACAAGAAACGAACACCTAGTTACTATAGTAATAACACTTGGTATTATGGAAGTTGGTTATCATCACAGTGACTATGATTCATCTCTCTTCTCAACATGTTGCTTGTTTGTGTAGATGGCATCCTTATCACAAGTGATGATCTTGAAGAAATCCGACAACTCAAATTGTTTCTCAAATGTTCTTTCAAGATGAAGGATCATGGTACTATGAATTATTTTCAAGGTTTGGGGGTGCAGTCATCTCCAAGAGGCCATTTTGTGAATAAAAAAGCTACAGTACAAACTCCAAGCAGTTTGATACTCCTATAGAAATCAATGTAGAATTGTCTTGTGATGAAGGAGAACTACCACAAGATCCTATTCTGTATCAATGATTGGTTGGGAGTCTTATTTATCTCATTATGGCCCACCTAGACATAGCTCATGTTGTTTAAGTGGTTAGTCAATTTGTATATGCTCCAGTTACCAGCTGCTCGAAGCAGCAGCAATTCAAATGCACACAACAAACTAAAGAAATCAAGCATAAGTTGACTGAAGATATCTTCAATTATTGTAACAATCATACCAACAAGTTTTGTTGCTAATCAATTATCCATTAGAAGGGGAAACATGTTTTGTTGCCCTTGTCTGTCTCAATTTGCCATCTTTTCATTGTTTCTACTAGTTTAGTTGATTTTTCAAATTGGAAACAACCAAAACACATAACAGAAGGATACACATCATATCTTTAAGACCAACCAATCCTTATATTGTTTATCATCAACATGGAGGATAGATTAAAAACCAAATAATCATGGATAATGGAATGAGATTTTTTCTTTCAGCATGTCATTCTATATAAGAACAGTGAACGCATGATTCCTAATTCAAGCAATCACAATCATGAGTAGTTTTTTATATCAATATTTAGCCTGTAATAGCAGCCCTAAAGATGATACGATCAACAATATGTCGTGGAGCAAAGTAGTAAGATAATGTGGTACCGTGAGTTTGTGGTCACATCCAAGCTTGCAAAGAGTAGCATTGGAAACCATTCTGTCTTTTTTAGCACTAAGAAGGCCCTCATGGTCATGGTTGTTAATTTTGAAGAGCTGTTGACTGACTGCATACTTAAGAAATGAATCTCCAAGGGTCTCTAGGGACTCCAAAGAGAACTGCTCTTCACATTTCTTTGTGGTAATTGCTTCCAAAATCTATCATGCATAGAAACATCAAACACAACAGAAGCAAAAGGTTGGTGCATTCAATAAAGAGATCAATTCAACCAATCAAATTTATAGCTATTCTTGAACTTGGTTATTGAAAATAAATAAAGGGTTGACTAAACAAACACACGAAAAAAAAAACAATAACATAGACTTACAATATTTTGATCATCAACTTGAAAATATTTTTATTAATAGAAAACACAAAAATCAATGATCACGTATCATTCCAAGCGACAAAAAATGTCTTAAAGGGGGATGGAAAGAAAAGAAAAAGAAAGACAACAACCAAAACGAGGAAGACCAAACAAATCAAGACAATATAGAAAAGAAATAAAACAAATCCCCTCTATAATAATTAATAGAATTTGATCCTCAAAACTCCATTCCCAACTAAATGTGGTGTTCACTTAACATGAAAAGGATCTAGCTCACTAACAAAATGGTCAGTCTCCAAGGAAATTAGGACACTTGCGCATCCAATAAAAAAAATAGTAATCCCAAATCAAAAGCATGCCAAGGGATCAACTATTGAGAATAGACCTGTTCACAAGCTGGGCCAGGCTTTGCCTCTTTATTAACAGAAAATGTCCAGGCCCAAGCCAAGCCCAGCTCAACCATCAGGCCTATATCTTGAACTTGAGCCCAGCCCTTATATAAAAAGCTTGAAGCTAGGGCCCAAGCCCAAAGCCTGGTCTGGATGTAATAATTCCTACCTACATTGTAACTTAACAAACTAATATTAAATATTATTACTATATATTTTTAATGGGCTGGGCTTTGAGCCCATGCCCATAGGCCTAAAACTTTGTCCAAGCCCGATAAAGAATAATGATGACCAGGTCCACTGGAGAATAACCTGAAACACTAGGCAAGAAGGACAACCCCTTCCTCACTATCACTCCCTTTTCCAAGCCTAAGAGACCTTAGGGAGTGAGGATACTCAAGGAGAAGTCACTAAAGTAAACTCATAATAAGTACCGAAATGTGTTTATCCTGATATTAAATACTGTTGACAGATGTATTGTATGTACTGTACACAGGTTTAGTGCCCGCAGGGGTATTTTTGTAATTTTGTAGACCTCTTGTGTTGTACGGCCAGTATAGTATAAATACAAATGCTTCACTCGCATGAAGCAGTTCTTTTGAGGCCTTAAGTCTGCAGCCTCTTCTCTTCTCCTTCTTCTTCCTTTCTTCTTCTTCTTC